ACCGCCCGACCCCACTTCTAAGTCCTAACTCCTAAGCATTAGTGGAAGAAAACTATTTTTTTTTTCTTTCTATTGGCTCCTCATACATAGTTACACATATCATCATCATATATTGGGCTGAGTTAGGGGCCTATGTCTTTTTTTTTGTCGAAGGGTCTATGTCTTTATATGAAGTATCTATTGAAGGAAAAATGAGAAAAGAGGAAAAGAAACAGTCACTGCTATAACGCAACACGAATCTTCTTCTGTATATGCAACTGTGTGAAATAATGGATGAGTTCCTTCAAGATTAAAGAATGCTAGTTAAAGGTTGATTAAGACCATTTCCGATGTCTTTCTCTATTTAAACTCTAAAACAAAGTAAAAAATAGCATTATTTTATTTGTACTCCAATATATTTCTATATTTGAGAGGAATGCTATTTTTTCCTTTATTTAGAGTAAAACAAAAATATTCTCTATTTTTTTTTTTAAATATAGAGAAAAAATAGCAATATTTATTTTAAAGTTGGAAATAGAGATGAGTTGGAGAGATTTAACTCTGATTTCTATTTTAGAGTAAAAGATAAAAGTTAAATAGAGGTGGGTTGAAGATGCTCTGAGATATCTTGTTAAATATATAAGGAACTTGATGGATGATAATTTGTCTATTCACTGTTTGGTGGCAATGATGAAGCAAAACAACCCCAAAAACAAGAAGAAAGCAAGTACTCATTAGAACAAGAATAAGGTGTATATATAGTACAAAAGCAAATGAAGCATAGTAGAAACAACAAGGAGAACAACATCAAACGACAGCAAAAGAATAAGAAACATTACAAGCATGTGCAAACAAAATGCATGAGAGAAAGATAGTAATGTGTCGTATAGCAGCAGCTAAAGAGCTTAAGTAGCTTCTCATTTGGAAGGTGGTGGAGTGAAGAATGGGATGGTAGGAATGCTAGTGGGAAGATTGAATGGGAAGTTGTTTGGAATAGAAATTGGGAAATTAGGAATGTTGATTTGTGGGAAGTTTGGGATACTAATGGGTTGTGTTGGGTTAGGCAAAGTTGGTATCTGCGTGCTCGGTAATGGAGGAAACGCAGTGGGTTGAGGAAGAGTTGGCTGCGGAAGAATTGGTTGAGGAAGAGAAGGAGGCATAAATGGTGGCATTGTGGTTTTGGGAAGAGGAGGGAACGTTGTTGTAACCGGTGGCTGAGTCGCTGGTGTTGATTGGAGAAGATGGCGACGAGCTGAGAGACCGGTGAAAAGGCCTGTGAATGTCAGTGCAAGGACAAGGGATGGTAACCAGTGAACCATCTTGGGGATTTAGGGTTTGAGTTGTTACTAGAGAGAGAGGTTTGTGTTTTTGGGTTTGATTGCGAAGGAGTATGTGTGTGTATATTTATAAAGGAATTAGGGTTTGAGGTTTGATGAGAAGTAGTTGGAGGAAAGCTTGAAAAGGTTATTGTTGGTGCAACTTATTGACAGTTACTTGTTACACAAGAAAGCTGCAGAGCCACTAGAAGCAACCATTACACATGAGTCACTTTGTCTCTGCTTACCAACCCCACCCTACAAAACTTTGTTTCTAAAGTCGATAGAAAATCCTGTTTTTATTTCTATTTTAATTTCGATATAAAATTTTAAAAATTACCAATCCGATGATCACTTTGGTTTGGTGACTTTGTATACCGAAAACAATTAGTTTTTTTTTGTTGTGGTTTCATATGTTTCCATTTTTCTTGTCGTTACATATGTTTCCTTATAATTAGTAAAGATAATCCTTTTTCCTTTCTTTAATTGGACTACAAGTAAAGAGCTGAAACATTGTAAATAACCTTTTGCCCTCTCTTCATTATTTCACAAAATCCCTCAATTAATCTTAGCTCGTTTAATATACCACATAAGTCGTAAGAGATCAAAGAGTCTACTATTCTTCCTTATCATTCGATTAAATCATTAAATCTCTCTTGAAGATGTCGATGATAGTAAGACACCGTTACATGGTCAGATATGTTTTTGCCGTTCCGTTTCTTACAAAACACGGAATTGGTTTTCACTACTTCTCTTGTAAATCCGTCTTACATGTTCATCAAAAAGTCTCTGTTGGGCCTGAGCCTGCGGCCCAAACGATCTACGACCCGGCGATCAGCGGCCCGAAAACAATGGAAACCCAACTCAAACAGTAATCGCGGTCTGGTTAAATCTGAGTCAGATTCAGTAACTACGATTAATAAAACCTAGTATGTATCCTCAAAACCTTGTACTATAAATAGGGGAATAAGCTGATGTAAAGAGGGAGAATTCCACTCTGAGGGAAAGTACAAGGGACCCAGAGCATAACCGTTCAGGTCTCTAACTCCGACAGAGAACTCACCGGAAGGCCACTGCCGATTGGGAAACACCGCAAACACTCACATTACACACTAGCTTGCAGCGAACAAGTAGTTCGGGATCTGTCCAGCCTACTACTCTCTTTCTAGTCTATAGTAATCAGGTAGACCGAGATCTGTCCGGACTATCTATAGCGGTTTTCTTTGTAACACTCATTTCGGGCTCAACTTCTAATACACGAAACCCTCCGACCTCCTATCTACTATAAATTCATTGTTCGATCTTTGGGATGAACAATTGGCGCGCCAGGGAGATTTTCTAACGCAAGGAAACATGAGTCCGGATGCATCAACCAGTCAGCAGGTCAACGAGGCAATAACTCTAGAGACCACCGAAGCAACCCAGGCAACCTCTGTCGCCGCAACCACGATAGATACGGTCAACCCTCCAGTGACCGCCAATGAGGAAACAAGAGTAACCGAATCTGACCCTTCACGCAACGAGCCCGCGCTTGTTACTAACAAACAAATCAACTTCGTGGGCGTGCTTAGTATTCTCATGAGGCGTTTTGACCAACAAGATGACCAGTTCAGAAGAACAAGCACCCGCCTCGGCGCTCTATCAAACGCACAGACCGCAATCCATGAACAGCTGGACTCCACTCGGCCAATCACGTCGCAGCTCCGAACGAACTCATCTGAAGTAGAGCGACATGGCCGACCTTCGCCCCAGCATCAGACTATCAATCTAAACACTCCCACTAGAACTCCGATCAGTACACAGGTCGCTCGGCCACCTCCTTCGAGAGAACATGATTCTTTTGAAGGTCAGGAAATAG